GAGAGAGAGAAGACGACGAGAGAGAGATGAGAGCGACGAGGCGAAAGAGAAAGAGGGTGAGGAATAGAGGAAGAGAAGAGAGCGGAGACAGATAGCGAGCAGAGAGAGGCGCGGAGAGAGAGAGAGATGGTAGAGGAGAGCAACGATGAGAGAGAGAGAGACGAGGAGAGCGAGGAGAAGGAGAAAGAGGGAGATGAGGGGGGCCCGCGCGAGACGAGAGAGAGGAGAGGAGAGAGAGATTGAAGAGAGAGAGAGAGAGCGATAGGAAGAGAAGAGAGAGAGAGGCGAGAGAGACGACGAGAGCGAGAGAAAGAGAGAGGAGGAATCAAAGACCGAAAGAGAAAGGAGAGAGAAGAGAGCAGAGAGAGAGATGAGAGAGTAGAGCGAGGAGCGAGAGGGGCTATATGGGAAGATGAGAGGGGGGAGGAGGGAGAGCGAGACAGAGAGACGGAGAGAGAGAGAGGAGAGAAGAGAGAGAGGAGAGAGAGAGAAAGAGAGGAGAAGAGAGAGATGCGAGGAGGGAAAGAGAAAGAGGGGTGAGGATAAGAGGAAGAAGATGACGAGAGAGACGAGCCAGATGAGAAGAAGAGCGCTCCGCGCGCGCGACGAGAGAGAGGACGAGAGAGAGAGAGAGAGCAGACAGAGAGAGCGAGAAGGAGAAAGAGAGAGAGCGAAGAGCAGAGAGACAGAATTCTCAGAGATATTCGCCAGTGATTACGGACCCTCCGTCTCCTGATGGAAAAGGCAAGAGGCATATAAATATATCATCATATGTATATATATATCATATATATATATATATAGAGGCAGAGCAGAGAGATAAATCGACGCAGGCGCTAATTGAGAAACGGGCGTTGGCGGAGATAGGCGCAACAGAACGACGCAATGCAGCAAGAACGATCGCAAACATTGGCTCGCTCTGAATTATTGGAGTCCGCGTTTAATAATTCAGCGGCTTGTTTCGCTACAACACGCGCCGGTTCGTGCTTCTTCTAATTGCGCCCGCTGTGGACAGGGAATCGCCCCTGGTCATCGTAGCGTCGCCCTGCCGCCCGACATTTTCGCAGACGCCTTTCAAATAGCCGTCGGAAGCTGGCGTGCACAGCAGAAAAAGATGCTGCGCGGGCCGGCCCCTACCCTCGCGCCGCCGCGCTTTGGCGGGCTCTAGAGCGAGCGGTAGCGTCGACGCCGCGACGACTGGCGCACGATGGAGAAGACGCGCGGACGCGTGTAGACAGACAGACGGAGTGGAATGAGGGAAGTAAATTCTATGCGACGATTACGCGCAGACAGCAGCCGATGTTAAAGCAGTTTGCCCGGCGCCAGTAACGATAGCAGCAGCAGCGTGCCGGCAGGAAGCAAATATAGGAGGCCTTAGAAGAGGAATATGCGGCGATGATGGGCGCGTGGGATGGAGGAGGATGGCATGCGCAGGAGCAGATTCGCGATGCTGGACGAGGAAGATACGCGAGAGCTAGGAGAGAAGCCAGAGGAGATAGTACCGAACCGGAATGCCCTGTAGAATTGGCGAGCTTGAAGGAGCGAAGAAAGAAGGTGAACATGGAAGCGGCGGGGTGCTCAGAAGGCAAGCCCTGATGGGGAAACAGGAGGCTGCAAGAGGGAGCAAACGGGTGCGGTGCGAGAGAAAAACAAGCGGTACGATGAGACAATAACAGGAAGGATGCCTAAAAGCAGGATCATGTGGGGATGCCTGTGTAATGAGAGAATAGCAGATTGAAAATTAGAGATGTTCAGCAGAAGAGGCGGAATTCTTCGCGCGCGGGGAAACGCCGAGAGAGCGACGGCAGTGTGTTACTATTATAGATATATACTACTCGTAGCCCTCATTATCCACAGCACGCCCAAGCCTAGCATAGTTTTGCTCCCACACTCTCTTACTCTCTGCCTAATCTCACTCGATGCCTCTCTCACACACATGCAAAACGCAACACGAGCATGCCACGCACGCACCCACGCAAGCACGGCACGACACACACACACACACACACACACACACACACACACTACTCTCTCGCTTGCACTGCTAGTGCCCTTCCCATACTTGTGTGTGCCTTTCCCACGCGCTGCAACACTAACTGTTTACTCTGCCGCGTTTGTTTAAATCTTGATCGATGATTTACAGTTCTAAAAACGCAAGTATTAATTGTTTTTAGATCTCCGCCGTTGACAATCGCCATCAATTGTGTGGCGGTCAGATAATTGCTGAACACTGACTGACGCGCCCTCGACCTCAGGCCTCGACTCCCAGCCTTCAGTAAAGTCAGCTAAGGATTGTTCTAGTAGTTCCTCGTAACGCCATATGAGGGCGCTCTAACACGCACGGATGTAGATGAAGGCACGATGTGGCACAAAAATGTATTATATTGAAATGTAAATAGATAAAATAATAAGCCACTTATTCAAGCCAAAACCAGAGTTTCAGCTGTAGCTTGTTTTCAATACCAGTAGGAACTTATTGATAACTTAAAAAGCAAAAACAACATAAACCAAGAATTTCAATATTAATAACACAATAAAGATATTTAATAATTTACGTCTATATATAAAATCAGCCTCATGCATCAACCTGGAAAAATAGGACTAATTTATAATCATATGTTATAATCAATGTTATAATCATACATATAATCCTACCCCAACTGAACTTTCTTTGTGCGTGCTTGCGTTTGGCAACAAGAGACAGTTTTGGTTAATAACACGCTAGGCATGAATACAGGGCAAATATATAAAAGAGGAAATGTACATATAATAATACAAAGTAAAAAGGACGGCAAAAAGTATTTTGTTGTGTTGACTTCATTAAAACATCCCTGAGACCGATTTTGCTGACTTCCTTAAAACCTACTACGTCATCATCCATAAAACTTACTACACTGTGCTGGCTTCCTTAAAACTTACGGTTCTGATATCTTTTAAAAAATTGATCAAATATGGTTTTTCACAAACTTATCACATGGATATCCGTATTCTGACATAAAACAGCAAATGTTTGGCACAACATTAGTAATAATGGTGGGGCTGGTGTACACATGCGATAAGACCAGTGGTTCCACAGCATTACGCAAGCAGCATCGATGCATTTACTCCAGGGGGCGGTACTGCCCCCACCGTTACTTCTCTTTGCAGTCCGCAGCTCCACCTACATCCCCGGTATTGCCCTCTACTTCTGTGTCCGTCGCGACGAGACTATCTGTCATGTAGTGCAGTTGCAGGCAGTCATGAAGAAAGTGCTTCTCAATGTCGTCGTTTACCGTCCACACCACCAGGTGGATCCCACGCTCCTCCCACAGACGCTTGCACCGGCTGCGGGTAAAGGGAGGCATGATGCTAAATGCTCAATGCAAAACAAGTGTGAACGATGTTGACATGCTAAAAGGAAAGTGTCAATGACACTGTAGCTGACCACAAAAAAGGACACAAATTAGTGAGTAAGAAGAAGTCAGTTTTAATTGAGCAACCATCGACGTACATTATAGAAACGATTGCCATCTGTATATCGCAATAATAATTTATAAACCAAAATGAATCACAAATTGTGACCGTAGATAGCGCTATACCCGCTTTGTAGCGATGGCGTTTGAAATAAATAGGTTATGCTGCGTATAATTGAGAGAAGGGCGTGGCGGAGATAGGCCGCAACAGAACGACGCAAGCAGCAAGAACGACGCAAAACATTTGGCCGCTCTGAATTATTGAGTCCGGTTTTAATAATTCAGCGGCTTGTTCGCTACACACGCGCCGCGTCGTGTTCCTCTAAATTGCGCCCGCTGTGGCGGGAATCGCCCCTGGTCATCGTGGCGTCGCCCTGCCGCCGACATTTCCGCAGACGCCTTCAAATAGCCGTCGGAAGCTGGCGTGCACAGTCAGAAGATGCTGCGCGGGCCGCCCTACCCTCGCGCGCCGCGCTTTGGCGGGTAGAGCGAGCGGTAGCGTCGACGGCGCGACGGCGCACGATGGAGAAAGACCGCGCGGGGTGTAGACAGACAGACGGAGTGGAAGTTGAGGGAAGTAATTCTAGCGACGATTACGCGCAGACAGCAGCCGATGTTAAGCAGTTTGCCCGGCGCCAGTAACGATAGCAGCAGCAGCGTGCCGGCAGGAAGCAAATATAGGGAGGCTAGAAGAGGAAGATGCGGCGATGATGGGCGGTGGGAGAAGAGGGATGGATGCGAGGAGCAGATTCGGATGCTGGACGAGGAAGATACGCGAGAGCTAGGAGAGAAGCAGAGGGGATAGTAACCAACCGGAATGCTGTAAGAAGGGAGCTTAAAGAGGAAGAAAGAACGGTTGAACAGGAAGCGGCGGGGTGCTCAGAAGGAAGCCCTGATGGGGAAACAGGAGGCTGCAAGAGGAGCAAACGGGGTGGGTGGGAGAGAGAAACAGCCGACGATGAGACAATAACAGGCAAGGATGCTAAAAGAGGATCATGTGGGGATGCTGTGTAATGAGAGAATAGCAGATTGAAATAAGAGATGTTCAGAGAAGAGGCGGAATTCTTCGCGCGGGAAACGGAGAGAGCGACGGCAGTGTCGTCTACTATTATAGTATATACTACTCGTAGCTCATTATCCACAGCACGCCCAAGCTAGCATTAGTTTGCCTCCCACCACTCTCTACCTCTCTGCCTATTCCACTCAAGCTCTCTCACACACATGCAAACGCACACGAGCATGCACGCACGCACGCACGCACGCAAGCACGCACGCACGCACGCACGCACGCACACACACACACACACACACACACACACACACACACATCCATCATCATCAGCATCAGCATCATCATCATTTATATATTATTATTTAATGAATTCTTTATATTATGAAAGAATAAAATTACCCCCTTGCATCTTTGTCTCTTTTTCCACATCATCTACATTTATTTATTTTCTTTATGTTTATATATTAAATACTATGATGTAATGATACAAGTGTATCAAATTACCCCTCATCTCAACAAATATTTGTCGGTCACCGTTTCACACAGATGAGTCGCGAGGGGGTGTACGGGAGGATGCGGCACGTTTCCATGGCGATGCAGCTACTCGCGCGTGCTGGTGACGTCATTCTCGAGTGGCTTCATGAGAATGTTCTCTGGTACCTGTGTGGCAACTCCGTCTTCCTCATCCACGGCATGTGCGTCTCAGAGTAAGTAAAGGCATGCAGGGCTGTCCATGTATCCTTGTATGTGGCTTCCCAGTGTGCATTGTTTTCTGGTGTCTGATGTGCTTCCGGGTCTACGGTGCTCTGGTGTCTCCTGTACTAGTGTCTGTTGTGTTTTGGTGTTTCTTGTACTAGTGTCTGTTATGTTCTGGTGTCTCCCGTACTAGTGTCTGTTGTGTTCTGGTGTCTCTCATACTAGTGTTCGTTGTGTTCTGGTGTCCCGTACTAGTGTCTGTTGTGTTCTGGTGTCTCTCGTACTAGTGTATGTTGTGTTTTGGTGTTTCTTGTACTAGTGTGTTGTGTTCTGGTGTCTCCCATACTAGTGTCTGTTGTGTTTTGGTGTTTCTTGTACTAGTGTCTGTTGTGTTCTGGTGTCACCCATACTAGTGTCTGTTGTGTTCTGGTGTCTCCCATACTAGTGTCTGTTGTGTTCTGGTGTCTCCCATACTAGTGACTGTTGTGTTCTGGTGTCTCCCGTACTAGTCTCTGTTGTGTTCTGGTGTCAGTTGCATATCAGGCTCTGTCTCAACCCGGTGTCTGTGCTGTGCATCATATCTCAACCTTCATTGCGACATCTGTGACATTTTTCATGGTTTTCAATTCCCAGTTCTGTGATGCTAAATGTTCTGTCACATCTTGTGTTTGTCATGTACCATCATCTCTTGTGTCCTGGTATCTGTGGTGTCCCTGGTGACTGGCATCACATTTCAGAGTATGTGACATCGCAGCATCTGTGACATACCAGCATCAGTGACAGCCCAACATCTGTGACATACGAACATTAGTGACAGCCAACATCTGTGCATACCACTCTGTGCACACATCTGTGACATACGAACATCTGTGACAGCCCCAACAATCTGTGACATACGAACATCTGTGACATACGAACATCTGTGACAGCCCAACATCTGTGACATACGAACATCTGTGACAGCCCAACATCTGTGACATACGAACATCTGTGACAGCCCAACATCGTGAATAACACTGTGACAGCAACATCTGTGACATACGAACATCTGGGACATACGACATCTGACATCGCAACAGCCCAACATCTGTGACATACGAACATCAGTATTATCCCAGCATCTGTGACATACGAACATCTGTGACAGTCTAACATCTGTGACATACGAACATCTGTGACAGCCCAACATCTGTGACAGCCCAACATCTGTGACATACCAGCACCAGTAACATACGAACATCTTTGACATCCCAACATCAGTAATATCAGTGACGTCCTGGTGCTTGTCATGTTGCTGTGTCAGTGGTGTTCTAGTGTCAGGGGTGTTTTAGTGTCAGTGTGGTGTTCTAGTATCGGTGGTGTTCTAGCGTCAGTGGCGTTGCAGTGGCAGTGGTGGTGCAGCGTTAGTGGTATTCTAGTGTGAGTAGGGTTCTAGTCAATTGAATCTTATTATATAGTCTGTGTCATTGCAAGATCTGTTACATCCTATAGCAGCCTCTGTCTATGGTATTCCCCATGTTTTTAGCTCACCTTGACATCGTCAAGCTGAGCTATTGCCATGGGTCGTCGTGCGTCGTGCGTCTGCTGTCCGTCCGTCTGTCAACATTTCGCTTCGGTCAACGATAACTCAGGAACCGTTTTGCCCACATGTTTGAAATTGGGTATAGTTGTTACTGCTATGCTCCCATATTAAATGTCCTATTTTGAAGACGCCAGTCGACGTACTTTCGAGCCACGGAAATTTTTTGACAAAAAATGGGAATTGCCATTAGTCAGTTCAGGTACAACGGATTTTGCTCATTTTTGGTATGTGAATGAATAAGGGCTAGGGGTTTTTGATATTGAAAAAATTATGCAAAATTAGGTAGGGTTTGGCAATTTATATAGCATATTATATAGACCAAACAGTCTGTGGTTGTCACACTCGTCTGGTTCGTTTTACAAGATTTCATTGACAAACTTTAATGCAAAATTGGCATTCCTCTCCACCCTGCCGATAAAACGTCTATATTTAGAGTAAAGATTTACAAAACATGTCGCGAACGGCAGCATAACCTATTTATTTCAAACGCCATCGTACAAAGCGGTATAGCGCCATCTACCGGTCACAATTTGTGATTCATTTTGGTTTTATAAATTATTATTTCGATATAACAGATGGCAATCGCTTCTATAATGTACGTCGATGGTTGCTCAATTAAACTGACTTCTTCTTACTCACTCATTTGTGTCCTTTTTTGTGGTAGCCTTACAGTGTCATTGACACTTTCCTTTTAGCATGTCAACATCGTTCACACTTGTTTTGCATTGAGCATTTTAGCATCATGCCTCCTCTTTACCCGCAGCCGGGCAAGCTGTCTGTGGGAGGAGCGTGGATCCACCTGGTGTGTGGACGGTAAACGACGACATTGAGAAGCACTTTCTTCATGACTGCCTGCACTGCACTACATGATCAGATAGTCTCGTCGCGACGGACACAGAAGTAGAGGGCAATACCGGGGATGTAGTGGAGCTGCGGACTGCAAAGAGAAGTAACGGTGGGGGCAGTACCGCCCTGGAGTAATGCATCGATGCTGCTTGCGTAATGCTGTGGAACCACTGGTCTTATCGCATGTGTTCACCAGCCCCACCATTATTACTAATGTGTTGTGCCAAACATTTGCTGTTTTTGTGTCAGAATACGGATTATCCATGTGATAAGTTTGTGTGAAAAACCATATTTGATCAATTTTTAAAAAGATATCAGAACCGTAAGTTTTAAGGAAGCCAGCACAGTTGTAGTAAGTTTTATGGATGATGACGTAGTAGGTTTTTAAGGAAGTCAGCAAAAATCGGTCTCAGGGATGTTTTTAATGAAGTCAACACAACAAAATACTTTTTGCCGTCCTTTTTACTTTGTATTATTATATATGTACATTTCCTCTTTTATATTATGCCCTGAATTCATGCCTAGCGTGTTATTAACCAAAACTGTCTCTTGTTGCCAAACGCTAAGCACGCACAAAGAAAGTTCAGTTGGGCTAGGATTATATGTATGATTATAACATTGATATATAACATATTATTATAAATTTAGTCCTATTTTTCCAGGTTGATGCCATGAGGCTGATTTTATTATATGACGTAAATTATTAAATATCTTTATTGTGTTATTAATATTGAAATTCTTGGTTTATGTTGTTTTGCTTTTTAAAGTTATCAATAAGTTCCTACTGTATTGAAAACAAGCTACAGCTGAAAACTCTGGTTTTGGCTTGAATAAGTGGCTTATTTTTATCTATTTACATTTCAATATAATACATTTTTGTGCCACATCGTGCCTCATCTAACATCCCGTGCGTGTTAGAGCGCCCTCATATGGCGTTACGAGGAACTACTAGAACAATCCTTAGCTGACTTTACTGAAGGCTGGGAGTCGAGGCTAAGGTCGAGGGCGCGTCAGTCAGTGTTCAGCAATTATCTGACCGCCACACAAATTGATGGCGATTGTCAACGGCGGAGATCTAAAAACAATTATACTTTGCGTTTTTAGAACTGTAAAATCATCGATCAAGATTTAAACAAACGCGGCAGAGTAATACAGTTAGTGTTGCAGCGCGTGGGAAAGGCACACACAAGTATGGAAGGGCACTAGCAGTGCAAGCGAGAGAAGTAGTGTGTGTTGTGTGTGTTGTGTGTGTGTGTGTGGTTGTGCGCGTGCGTCGCGTGC